CTACTCTTAAGCGGCTGCAGCTTGTATAAAATGCAGCTGTGGGCTTTTTAACAGGAGAGAACAGGCGAACACACGTCACAACCAGTTTTATCTTTACTGCTCTGTTTTGTTTTGTGATCATGTTTTTTCACTTGCAGAGCTTCAAATGGACAGGCCCCTGTACATCAGTGACTTACTGCACCTCTACTGCTCAGGTCGCTCTCTCCGGTCCTCATGTCAGGGCGTCTTGATGCTCCCAAAGACCCGATTTAAAACTCAGGGCGACGTGAGCTTTCAGGCTGTGGCTCCCAAATTATGGAATGCCCTGCCCCTAGCTCAAGCTCAAGCCACTGCTCTTTAGACAGGCTTTTAGTTGACTTTGTCTGTCATTCCTCTGTTCTTGTTTATGTTGTTTATTGCTCTGTAAAGCAGGATTACTTACTTACTTACTTTAGTTTGTTCACTTATGAATACCACAAGTCATATCAGCACACATAAACTACTCAAACACTTAGAATGCGGCAGTGAGAAATGTCTTTTGGTTGTTTTGATGTGTTAAACTGTGTAAATGTAGAGAAAGTGTCTTGTAAAAACTCAATTCTGGCAGTTTGACTTTTACATGTTGAAGAAAAAACTTCAGTCTGCTGCCAAATGATGTGAAAGAAAGTTTAAATGTCACTACAAAGTTTTTAGAAGACACTTTCTCTACACTTACACAACTTCACATGAAAGATAATCCCCTGTGTGACGTAAATCCAACCGACTCATCGACCGCACCAAACCAGCCCGAGTTTGTGTTTGGGAAACCCTGATCTGATCGGCTGTTCCATTGAACTTTCTTGAGGTGGAGGTTGTTTTACCCGAGTCCCGAGCGCAAGAGAACGTGGAGTAAGAAGCTTTCAGAAATATTCATCACATAGGATAGAAATTGGTGCATATTTGTCTGTAGTTGAGCATAAAATAAATATTCGTAAATTCTCGAATGAGTCCAGTCAAACATAAAATGTGTTTTGTGTATTTTATCATCAGAATACGAATTGGAAAGTTACGAGGTCAAAAATTACAATCACAAAATGAAAATTTACGATTGCGTTTCCTTCAGTACAAATACGAATTCACAGACGCGACTCGACTGTCTAGTCCTGGTTCAGTCCTGGTTCAGTCCTGGTTCAGTCCTGGTTCAGTCCTGGTTCAGTCCTGGTAAGTACTTGGGAACCGTGTTTGATTCCTCCCTAAGGTTTGTTACGAACACTGAGCAAATGATCAAACGAGGACAGCAGCGGGTTCACCTGATGCGGAAGCTCGGCTCTTTTAATCTGTCGCCTAACATTTTAAATAATTTTTATCATTGCTTTATCGAAAGTTTGATGACCTTTCTTTTATTTGTTGGTTTTATGGGTTTTCTGTGAAGGGCAAGAACAGTCTGGAACCAGAGAGTGAAAGTGTGCAGCAAAATCAGTGGTGTTCAGACGGACGATTTGGCCTCTGTGTGCAGTCAGAGGCTGTGTTCACACTGCAGCCTGAAGTGACCCAAATCCGATTTTTTGGCCCTTATGTGACCTGTATCTGATCTTTTGACATGTGACTTCAGTGTGAACGGTTCATCCACCTACACGTTATCAACAAGACACAAACGTCACTATTCTGCACTGAAGTAGGAGAAAACTGTTCATGATCCATGTGACTGAAGTGAAGCACATCTCCACTCACCACAAAACACCACGACCAAAAACCTCGTCCTTCTCCTTCTCAATCTCCTCCTTAAAACAAGTAAGTTGTTCATGTTGTGGCTCCGGTACGAGAGGAACTTTAAAATCTCCAGGTGCTCGATGCTGCGTCCATGTTTGGACAACTTCTGTAAACACAGAGACGCTCGCTGCGGTTGACGTCGTCGTGTCTCCAGTGTCACATGTGGGACACTTTTGGACCGTTTAATGTTCACACTGGAGTCACATACAAGTCACATTTAACTGGAAATGTGAACGACCTCGAAAAAATTTCGGATTTCACAAAAAAAATCCAAATGAATCATTAAGCCCTGCAGTCTAAAGGTTCGTTCACACCAAAGCGTCAAAAAACGCCTTGACGTTTCTATTTGGAGCCTTTGTATTTGAGTTCAGACGCCCGCGACGCTCGTGTGTTTGACGCCGTGGACGAACGGGAGAAAAATACTTGATGCGCGACCGTTGCCCTGGAAACAAGAGTCCGGTCCTGGACTTTTCCCGAAACAATGTCAGACCAGACTGAGAGACTTTAGTGTTTTTATGACATAAAACATCAGCGGAGGAAATCGACTCGACGACTGGAGCGAGTTTTATATTTATACTCCACTAATGACACTGGACCAGTCCTGGTCTAGTCCTGGTCTAACACCGGTCTAGTCCTTGTTTAGTCCCAGTCTAGTCCTGGTTTAGTCCCGGTCTAGTCTCGGTCTAGTCCTTGTTTAGTCCTAGTCTAATCCTGGTTTGGTCCTGGTCCGGTCCTGGTGTAGTCCTGGTGATGGTCTCGGTGATTGTGGTGTATATATTTATTCTCCGTTCATGTTTGTGGTTCTGGTTCTCGGGTCGTTATTTTTCTTCCTGATAATAACGTCGCTGCGTCTCTGGATACTCGTCCCTGATTGGTCGACGCGGCTCGTCCGACGCGAAAAGTTAAGCATTTTCAACTTCTTGACGCTGACGCCCTGGACGCGCGTCTAGAGCGCCGACGCCAAAACGCTCAAGACGCACCACGTCGACGCCAGATTCGCGCCGCAAAAACTGGACACTTTGATGCTCTGGTGTGAACGGACCTTAAGGCCAAACTGAGCCAAACTAACCATGTTCTGCACTCACAGTTCATGCAAATGTCCTCTGGGAGGCGCTATGTCACCCCACAACAAAAGACTAACCACTACGCCAAATCTTTTATTCCTTCTGCCATAAAGCTTTTAAATGAAAATTGAATTTGCTATTGTGTCCCTGATGCTCTGAGGTTTGAACGTACGGTGTCTGTTTTTCTTTTTTCTTTATTATTTATAGATTGTGCATGACCAGAGATGTGCCAACTGAACTGCTCTTTCGGATTAATAAAGTTGTCGATTGCTTGATTGTTTCAGTCCGTATGTGGCGAAAAGTCCGGCATCTAGATCGATATTTCTTCTGCCCGTGAAGCGATGACATCGAGTTTTGACAGTCGAGTCGCGTCTGTGAATCCGTACTGAAGAAATCGTAATCGTACATTTTCATTTCGTGATTGTAATTCTTGACGTCGTAAGTTTTCAATACGTATTCTGGTGCATAAAATACACACAATTGTTATATTTTATGTTAGACTGGACTCATTTGAGAGTTTAGGAATATTTATTTTACGCTCAACTACAGACATAAATGCACAAGAATATTTCTGAAAGCTTTCATACTCCATAAGAAAGCAGCATTATTCTCAGCGGGGACGAGACAAAACGCAAGAGACGAGACGAGATTTTTAATATAAATCCTAATATGTACATTTTCACGGTTCAGTTTCCATTTTTGGCCTCACAGTTTTGTATTTCTTTTTTCATATTTTCCTTTTCATTCTAGTGCTGCTTTTTGGAACTGTTAAAGAGACGTAG